AAACATCCTGCTGAAGTCAGTACCCGATCTCTGAGTTTCTGAACACAGTTCCTTGTTTCCTCGGGAAAAACATAAGCAACTCTTTGAAAGATCTTCATAGATTGATCGATTTGCAGGGTAGGCCGGAGCTCAGAGGCAAAAGACGCTGCTAGGGTTGCGTTGAAATCACCATGGTGGACTCTCGGATGTCCTTACGAGGCACAGATCACGCTCTCTTCTGCGTTTTTTTATGCTAAGAACACAAATTCGGTTAAAAGTGTACTTAAGGATTGTTTGCTGAAATTTGTGCATGTGGATCTTCCAGGAGGTTGCTAGTATTGCGCAATGGGAGGATGAACAGATCGAATACATGAAGGAGAAAGTTAGTGAAGAGGGTCGTCGAGAGGATCTCAAGAAAGGAAAAGCTCCAATCCAGGTTGCAATCTCACTTGTTATATCTCTTCATCCAATCTCCATATTTCTTCATATGTTCTTCTGGTGATTCATACACAGAGTGATTACTAACAATGGGTTATACGCAAAAAGGTTTCTTTGGACGTGGCGGCTTTTTTGTTGGACTTGGCCTCCATTGAAGGAACTTGGTCTGATTCTGTAGACCAGATTGCTGAATGTTATGCGGAGGCTGGACTCCATGAAATTGCCAGGTTCATTTTGTACAGAGACTGACACTGAATATCATCCATTAGAACTTCCTGCAAGTTTCTTTTACAATTCATTGTCATTACACACTGTAAATTGTTCAAAACATCGAGTCACAAACTAGTAAGCTTCAAGCCTGAGTTGTGGATTATGTCTTGGATTCACTTCAAGCTATGGCAGAATGAGAATCTTCTCCGGCAATGAGATTTCGATTCCTCATCTTGCTTTCCTTCATAACCCTCATCATCTGTAGTTACTTGCTGGACAAGAAAACCGGGGAGACAGTTCTCCGACCGGAGGAGTTTCAGATCATCACTTGCTCCTTGGTCCTTATAATGGAACCCTTCCCTGTCTGCCCGACTCAGAACCGTATCGGAATCATAAACGCCAATCATCGGAATCTTCGGCGGCCCAAAAACACGGCAAAGATACTGCAATCTGAAGAACCCATCATCATCATCCTCATCATCATCTGAATCTGAGTCTGTCTCCGAGAGCTGATACAAGAAAGCTTCTCTCAGGAGGTCACTAGAGGAAGAATGATCCGTACAGGTACTGCTTTCCGAGCAAGATTCGTACTCTTCATTCTTGAATTGTTCCTTCGCAGGTAGTGAACCAGATTCCGGGGTTGGAGGCGCAAATCTTGATTCGTCTTCATCCTCTGATTCGCACCAAGAAGAGAGGACCGATTTAGGGCTTTGGTGGCGAGAGGAATGAAGACGCGCTTTATCCATGTTTCCGGCGGATTTTCACCGGATACTCTGTTCCCTCGCCGGAGAATAACCGCCGCCGATTCGTGGGATTCTCTGGTGTGGTTTTTCTCTCGTGTTACATATAAATCAAAAGTGATCAAAATGAGAGTTTACGAGTGAGCCTCCCCATGCAGAGGTATATATATAATATAATATAACATATATTTGAATAATGATTTTAATATATAAAATTAAAAGTCGATATAAAATATTTTTAAGGTTATAAGGCCTACCATGAAAATGGATTTGGCCCACTCATTTTATTGGGCCTTTAATGGGCCTATATGCTGAATGTTATTCTAAAAAAATCTAAAGACGCGTAACCGACGAAACCGTGAGTTTAAAATGCAGCAGGAGAAGGCAGGGGTAATTTCGTCAAATTATATGGCCACTAGTCCTCGTCTGCTATAACTCGGTCCTCTCCCTCGGCCTTCTCACTCATCTTTCTTTTTGTTCTTAATCCAAAAATTCGACCCTTCGTGTAACCAGACTCACCGCCATCGCCGCCGCGCCGTCCGTCTACGAACCCGTAGCCTGAACTTCGTATGGAGATTTCCTCGGCCGAGTCGCTATCTGTCTCCGGTGCGGCCGCTTCCGAGGTTTCGTCGGAGTCGGCGGCATCTTCTTCTTCCTGCTCGTCTTCTTCTTCTGCATCGTCGCCAAATCAGGCATCTCCTGTGGCTTCGGAGACCGCTGTTTCTGCGGCGGCCGCATCGAGGTACGTCGATGATGACGAAGACGAGGAGGACGTGTGCAGGATCTGTCGGAATCCGGGAGATCCGGATAATCCGCTACGCTATCCGTGCGCTTGCAGCGGAAGCATCAAGTTTGTTCACCAGGATTGCCTTCTTCAGTGGCTTAATCACAGCAACGCTCGTCAATGCGAGGTCCTGGGTTTTTACGCTATCTAATTATCCGTCTAACTAGTAATTGTCTGGGTTTTTTAGATAATTAGGACTTGGGTTTTGGGAATCGAGGATTATTAGGATGGGTACTGGTGCTGGTACGGGAAATTTTGAGGAACTGTTGATCAAAAATCGAGTATTTCATCACCTACTCTTTTCCCATTTCTTTGTCGGTTTATTCGAGGTGATTTTGGGAGTGGGTGTTTATGAATGCACCATTTCACAAGATTCTTGTGCACTGATCTGTTTAAACAAATGCATCATGGTGGGCGTGAGTTATATTGATTTAAGCATTCATGTAATTGTTGGGGAGATGTTGCTTGTTTTGTTTATTGGGGTTTGTTTATGTCTTTATCATTATTGCTAGGGAGATTTACTTTTTGTTGTTTTCTTGGTAACCTTCTTGGTTGCTGATTACTCAACATGGTGAGCTAGTGAATCCAAAAGTTTAGCACTATAGTTGTGTCTTTTGAACTAGGTTAGTTTTACAAAAACTTGCATTATCATTATCCGAGTGCTTGAATGGCATGGTTTAACCGAATTTTAAACCTTATAGGATATTGTACAACTTGAAGGTGCATTCTGTTCCCTGCGGCCCTTTTCTTTTTGTTGATTGGATCTTGTGTTTAATTATCCCTGCAGGTTTGTAAGCATCCCTTTTCGTTCTCCCCAGTTTATGCTGCAAATGCTCCGACGAGGCTCCCTTTCCAGGAGTTTGTTGTTGGTATTGCTATGAAGGCCTGCCATGTTCTGCAGTTCTTTCTGCGTCTGAGTTTCGTGCTCTCTGTTTGGCTCCTCATTATCCCCTTCATTACGTTTTGGATATGGAGATTGGCTTTCGTACGGAGTTTTGGTGAAGCCCAGAGATTGTTTTTAAGCCACATCTCCACTACAGTGATCCTCACTGATTGTTTACATGGGTTTCTACTGTCTGCGAGTATTGTGTTTATTTTCCTTGGGGCCACTTCGTTAAGGGATTACTTTAGGCACTTGCGTGAGCTAGGAGGACAAGAGGAGAGAGAAGATGAAGGAGATAGAAATGGTGCTCGTGTAGCAAGAAGACCTGCTGGACCGGCTAATAGGAATCTCCCTGGAGAAGGAAATGGCGAAGACGCTGGAGGACAAGGTGCTGTTGTTGGTCAAATTGCTAGAAGGAATCCTGAAAATGCTCCTGCAAGATGGGACATACCAGCTGTTCGTCTTGAGGTTCAGGTTGAACAGATGTTTGATGGCCTCGATGATGCTGATGGTGCAGAAGATGTTCCGTTTGATGAGCTTGTCGGGATGCAAGGTCCCGTGTTTCATTTGGTCGAGAATGCCTTTACTGTAAGTCCATGTTTCTCCACTTGATTACGTATTTTTTTGTTATTCCCTCTTGTAAATCCACCTTTTTGCCTCACAAAATAATTTCATGATATGCTGGCTAATTGTTTCACTTCTGCAGGTTCTAGCTAGTAATATGATATTCCTTGGTGTTGTGATCTTTGTGCCCTTCACAGTGGGACGGAGTATCCTGTATCATGTGTCATGGCTTTTTGCTGCTGCAAATGGTCCCGTAGCGACAGCAGCGATAAGTTTCACTGAGACTGGACTATCATTGGCAAATATAACACTGAAGAACACATTAACGTCTGTATCAAATTTGACTGAGGGCCAAGAAAGTGGGTTGCTTGATCAGGTCACGGAAATGTTGAAAGTAAATGGCAGCGAGATAAATGGACCAAACAGCACATTCTCACTTTCTGCTGAGCTCATGAAAGGCTCTACTGCAGGAGCATCAAAATTATCCGATGTTACAACCCTGGCTGTGGGATACATGTTTATTATTTTTCTTGTGTTCCTCTACCTTGGGATCATTGCACTGATACGTTATGCTAAGGGTGAGCCATTGACTGTCGGGAGATTTTATGGTATCGCTTCTATAGTGGAAGCTGTGCCATCTATCATTAGGCAGTTCTTGGCTGCGATGAAGCATCTGATGACCATGATTAAAGTAGCCTTCCTTTTAGTCATTGAGCTTGGGGTCTTCCCTCTAATGTGTGGATGGTGGCTAGATGTTTGTACGGTTAGGATGTTTGGGAAAACGATGCCCCACAGAGTACAATTTCTATCAGTTTCTCCATTGGCAAGTTCACTCGTTCACTGGGTTGTCGGAATCATGTATATGTTACAAATAAGCATCTTTGTCAGCCTTCTCCGAGGGGTACTGTATTTTTATTTACCGCTCTGTTCAGATCTCATTTTGGAATTGGTTCTCGGGCTCTGCTCTTCATATCTTCTGACCTTTTCTTCTGGCTTTTCTTGCTAATGGCAGGTTCTTCGCCCTGGAGTTCTGTATTTCCTTCGTGATCCTGCTGATCCCAATTACAATCCCTTCCGCGATTTGATTGATGATCCAGTACACAAGCACGCTCGGAGGGTTCTTTTATCTGTTGCGGTGTATGGGAGTTTGATTGTCATGTTGGTATTTTTACCTGTCAAACTTGCGATGCGGATGGCACCTTCCATCTTCCCGCTTGATATATCGTAAGATAACCTCTAAACTCATCTTGTGTAGACCCTGTTGTTTCCGGATATCTATTATTGATGAGGATCCTTAATAACTTGCGGATTTGTGCAGAGTGTCCGATCCCTTCACTGAAATTCCAGTTGACATGCTCCTCTTCCAAATATGCATACCATTTGCCATTGAACATTTCAAACTCAGAACCACGATTAAGTCCCTTCTGCACTATTGGTTCAGCGAGACACTTTACAGAAAGGGTGATTTTTCTCAGCAGTGTCGGTTGGGCGCTTGGTCTGACCGATTTCCTCTTGCCCAGACCAGAAGACAACAATGGACAGGACAATGTAAACGTTGAACCCGGGAGGCAGAACAGGCCACAGGCTCTGCAAGTTGGTGTACCTGATCGGGCCATGGTCGCTCTTCCAGCTGCTGAAGATCCTAACAGAAGGCTTATTCGGGCTGCTGGGAATTCCAACGTCGCAGAGGAATATGAAGTTGATGATGAACAATCTGAGTCCGAGTAAGTTACAAATTTTCTTTACACATATCTAGACAATCTGTTCTCACTGATGAAATACCCTAAAGGCTAAAGCATAAAGACGTAGGCTTACATAAGATTTTTTATGGGCCATCCCCTGATATGAATCTGTGTATGTACTTTTAGCAAGTACAGCTTTGTCCTCCGGATAATCGTCCTATTGCTGGTTGCCTGGATGACTCTTCTTGTCTTCAACTCTGCGCTGGTAGTCGTGCCAGTTTCTCTGGGACGTGCTCTCTTCAACACTATTCCTCTCCTCCCAGTAACCCATGGCATCAAATTCAATGGTAAAACCCTAATTTGTATTTCTGTACTGCGATATTCATTCAAATGGTTACACTATGAGAAGCACTAACATACTTGTTTTTTTTTCTGAACTTCTCCATATAGATCTCTATGCATTTGTTATCGGCACATATGCCATTTGGACCTCCGTAGCTGGAGTCAGGTATGCTATCGAGCACATTAAATCGAAGAGGACTTCTGTCTTGCTTAACCAGATATGGAAGTGGTGTGCCATTGTTTTCAAGAGCTCTGCTCTATTATCCATATGGGTAAGTGGACTTAATGTTATCATCTTTTTGTTTTTCTTGCAATACTTTGCTCGTGGATTTCAGCCTTCTAATTCCAGATGTTTGTCTATCAGATTTTCGTCATTCCGGTACTGATCGGCCTTCTGGTTGAGCTGTTGGTGATTGTTCCGATGAGAGTTCCTGTGGATGAGAGCCCAGTCTTTCTCCTGTATCAGGACTGGGCTCTTGGTCTGATTTTCCTCAAGATCTGGACACAACTGGTTAGTAAAATTCTGTTCTGTTTCCCCGTTAAGATCTCATCACATAAAACTGACGAACTCCCAACTGTAAATATATGTTTCAGGTAATGCTGAATCACATGTTTCCGTTGGTGGATGAAAGCTGGCGAGCAAAGTTCGAGAGGGTAAGGGAAGACGGATTCTCGAGGCTGCAAGGGCTGTGGGTACTCCGAGAGATCGTATTCCCGATCGTGATGAAGCTACTGACCGCATTATGTGTGCCTTATGTACTTGCTCGGGGAGTATTCCCGATGCTTGGGTACCCGCTAGTGGTGAACTCGGCGGTCTACAGGTTCGCGTGGTTAGGTTGCCTGTCTTTCAGCCTCTTCTGCTTCTGCGCTAAGAGATGCCACGCCTGGTTCACCAACCTCCACAACTCTATCCGGGACGACCGTTACCTCATCGGCCGCCGGCTCCACAACTTCGGGGAAGACAATGGAAATCAAGCTGATGCCGCCTCAGCTTCACAGTCAGAGAGACAGCAGCGATAAGTTTCACTGAGACTGGACTATCATTGGCAAATATAACACTGAAGAACACATTAACGTCTGTATCAAATTTGACTGAGGGCCAAGAAAGTGGGTTGCTTGATCAGGTCACGGAAATGTTGAAAGTAAATGGCAGCGAGATAAATGGACCAAACAGCACATTCGGGATGGCGTCTTGATAGGCAACGATGGGACGGTGGCTGCGGCTGCGGCTGCTGATGAGGGCCTGCGGCTGAGACGTGTGGTCAACCCACACGAAGCCTAGATGGGCTCTCGTACCGTAGACGATGTCCGTACGTATACGTACGGTTGATGATGATTATGTACCGTAGGGTTTGGCTTCGAGGAATGTGTAATTAGTAATATGACCGTTTGATGTCTCTTTTTTTTGTTAGAAAGAATGTTTTGCTGTCCATATGATGAACCGTTTGGTTCGACTTTGTAAGCTTAAAAACATCAAAAATATCGGTGTGACATTCCAAACTCATCTCTCGTGTTCTATCTCGCGTAGCTATGACAAAATTTTATACAAAATGCTATATATATATATATATATGCATGTATGTAGCTATGACATGAGAACCAATCAATAAAAAGGACAGATTCATGAAGAAGAAAAAAGAGTATAAAACACAAGCCATAACAAGATCGCAAGTTTCAGAAAAAAGAGAAAAGAAAGGGCAACAAGTTTCCACAAGGCAGAAAAAAAAAGGGGTTATCCAAAGCCGACAATCTCAGAATCCGTCTCTTGTAATTTGTATCAAGCCCACGACAAAAGACGAAGACAGACAGAAAGATTCAAACCAAACAACCTCAAGAAACGATGTTGTTGCTGTCGTTGATGGACAATGAAGCGAGCTGGTCCGCTGCAACAATGGAGGAGGACACACTCCTAAGAACGGCCATAGCTTCTGCAACTTTGGCCTTCAGAGCTTCTGGAGATTCCAGCAAATGGAGAACTTCTGTCTGATCCATCTCCAACAGCATCCCTGTCACCTTCGCTGCCGCTTCTCCCTCCACTCTCTCCACCAGCGGATACAGATTCTCCCCCAGCATCTTTTTTTTCATAACATATGCCACCGGAAAAGAAAAATGGTTAAGAACGAAGGAAGCACATAATTTCTCGTCTTGGAGAAAAAGGAAGAAGAATTCACGGTTTTTCCTCACCGTTCTCTGCTGCTCGGGTGTAGCGTTAGCCAGAGCTGAAGCCAATGCTCCGATGGGTACTGCAGGCTGAGACATCACGGGTTCACGCATTGACATGTTGGCCATTTCGTATGGAAGCATTCCCGGCATGGTTGGGGCATCGGGGAGTGAACCACCGCCTCCTCCTCCTCGCCCTTGTGGGTATCCGTACATCCGACCCCGTGGATGCATCTGATAAAATGCTAACATCATCAATGACACCAAAAGAAGAAAAAGATAATGGAAATCACGGGATTTACTGCTAAGGAAATGGGACAGACCTGTTGCTGAATCATGGGAACTGCGGGACTGCTGAATCCCGCCGCTGCGTCTTCCTCCAGGGCGTTGTTGCTGCTGTTGCTGAACCATTGGCATGAAGAAGTTGGGCACAGGTCCCCCACCAGGCCTCATTCCAGGAACAAGCTGCTGCTGGAAGCCAAACCCAGGCTGGACACATATTGAAACATAGGATCAGATCATCAAACTGTTTTGGGATCGATGGAAAAACCCGAAAACAGAAAACGTCATTTTACAAAACTGAGGTTTATCCCCAATAAGGTAGAAAGGTTGAAGTTGAAATTAGTTTTACATTCCCATGTTGTATGGGCATAACCTCAAACTACCAAATCAGAGCTACACAGTGTAAAAGCATTTCAGCTTCTCCTGTAATTTCATTGAACTGGAAGCTTTGTAATTCACTATATGTGTTTAAGACGCTATACACGTATCTATACGCCGGCTACATATACGTAACTGTACAAAACCACAAAAACAGCCATAGAAAAAAAAAAGAAGTTTACCTGAGGAGGAATCATAGCGGGAGGAGCTTGACCATAGAATATCTGTTGTCCAATGCCAGGACCAGTCGGGGGATACATCGGCATACGAGGACTGACAGATGGCGGCATCACCGGCCTCAATTGAGCAAACTGAGCCTGTTGAACTCATGCATAGCCGTCATGATACGTTTGCATATATAGACTTTCCATACAATCACGGTGTTTAAAGTAATGATAGATACGGAAGCAATCCATCCCTTTCTAGGTTTCTTGTTCAATTCAATCTCAAAAAAGTAGACAAGTACGGTTTTTGATTAACATATACGTCCATGCACACATATTACGGTACGGTCAGTATATTTCTACAAATATTCATGGCATGTATATAACACTACAGAGTGGTTCCAGACCATAATGGAAAAATTGTACCAACTGAAATTACTTTCATTTTTATTACCTTAAGGGGAACTACAATTATAGCAGACAAATGTTCTTAATTGTGACGAGTATCCCAGCAGAATATGTTCGTCACATAGCAAAGATAAGACATATTTGGAAACAATACTTCCATTTTTTTTTTACTTTTTTAAAGTTTAGAGTTATAGAAGACCGAGCAAAATTTCTAGATGCAGCGATATTAGGGTAGGAAATGCTTTACATTGTCGAATCATTTTACGTCAAGACTTTATGGGCCCAAAGTTAGAATCGATGTAAAATCAAACAAGAAATGGGCAAAAAGCTTATTATATCACTGGACGAGGGAATTTCAAGAAAACGAACCTGCAGTCTGGCCCTTCTGTCCTCCTTCCGCTGCGCAATAGCAACATATAGAGGCTTGCTTACAATCATTCTACCGGTCATCTCCGACATCTGCAAAAGAACTACCGTTACTAAAAATTGAAAACGCTACACAAACACGTAAACTCAACGAGACATTATAATTTATAACCAACATACAGCTTTGGTGGCCTCCTCAGGAGTAGTGAAAGCTACAAAACCTGAGCCTTTGCTAACTCCACTAGGGTCCCGCATCACCTGTTATATTAAAGGAAATAACTTTAATGTGATTGATCAATAGAATTAGATAGACTCGTGAATCATCGAACAAAAAAGGGTACCGAACCTTGCATGATGTAATGGTGCCAAAAGGAGAGAAGAGTTCTTTAAGCTTTTCGTCAGAAACACTATCATCCAAATTCTTAACATACAAGTTTGAACCTTGAAACTTCTCTGCAGCTTCCTTAATATTCTGCTCATACCGAAGCCTCAGCTCCATTTCCCTCTCAGACTTCTTCTGAGCTCTACCGACATACCACTCCTTTTCATCAAATGTTTTTCCATTGAGGGACTCCACAGCCCTAGCAGCAGCATCAGCACTCTCAAAATTAACAAACCCGAAGCCCTTTGACTTCCCATCTCCATCCTTCATCACCACGGCACTTGTGATCTTTCCAAACTCACCAAAAATGCTCTTCAAGTCATCGTCATTTGTGGATTCTGCAAGATTCTTCACATACACGTTGGTGAATTTCATCTTGTTTGCAGTGGATTCTCTTTCTTGCCTCCTAAGGAAGGGTCCCACATACACTTGCTTGTCATTCAGCAGCATGCCATTCAACTGCTCTATAGCTCTCTGGGCAGATTCATCATTGTCATATTGCACAAACCCATAGCCTTTTGATTCGCCTGAAGAATCGGTAGCCACCTTGCACGAGAGAATGTTCCCAAATGCGGAAAAGGTATCATGCAGCGCTTTGTGGTCAATGGACTTGTCCAAATTCTGCCCATAATATTAACAAGGTTTAGCACCAGAGAGAAAGAAAGAAAATGAGAATAAGCTACAAAGTAAAAAAGAGAATAGTTTCTTGTCCGGCAATCAAACGGGGTAAAAAAAAGATCCGATCTTTTCATTAAGAAAAGGAAGGCAATAAGTCTAACATGGAAAGAAAGCAGACAGACAATAATACCTTGATAAAAATGTTTCCTTGGCCACTGCGACGGATACTAGGATCACGATGTGAAAACATAACCCTAATGGACTTTCCATTAAGGGTCGCGAAATTCAGTTCCTGGATAGCTCTTGCAGCTGTCACAAAGAAGCAACATGAAGTCCCATCAGACAAGAGAAGAAAGCAAGACAAATCTGTGGAAGCGGATAAGTTTCTCACATCAATCACAGCACAGAAATCATCTATACATACGCAGCACCGTATCGGCACATTCTATTTTATCCTTGTGAACCAAAGTGACGCAATTTCGGTATCAGAACGAAGGCTTCATTAACGGCACATTAGATAAAATAACTTATCATTTCTCTGAAATTGTTGCTCTCACGTCTTACCCTAATACATTTCCAAAACCCAAATCAAAGCAATACATCCAAAAATTCCCCAGATAGGGGAAAACTGAACTTGTGTTCTCTGTTTTTTTTCTTTTTGGCATCGATCAATTAGCTCGAACCCAAAATCAAACTCTCAGAAACGATGAACTAATACTAGCACCATTGAACAAAAAATGATAGTATCGGAATGCTAACCTCGTACCCAAATCCTGATGATCAGGACCCCATTGTTTCAATACACTTAATTGATTCTCCGAGGGAAGAATGGCAAAAACATCAATTAATCAAATCAATATGAGCCCTTATTCAAGAGACTAACCATCTTGTGGGTTGCTGAAGTTGACGTATCCATAACCAAGCGACCTCCGAGTGGCCAAATCCCGACAGACACGAACCGAAACGACCTGACCCACTTGCCCAAAGGCGTCGAAAAGCTGCGAGTCCGTCACGTTTGCCTCCAGATCCCCGACATAGAGCGACGTCGTACCAAACTGTGCACCCGCCGCCGCCGTAGGAGCCCCGGCGATCGAACCGTTCGCTGTCTGTGTCGGAAGCTGAACCTGAGCCATTTCTCTCACCGAAAACAAAAAACAAAAACACAAACACACACTCTCGCTGTTTTTTGTTTCTTTTTTAAATCTTTTTCAACTTTTTTTGGGTTTTCTATGATCTTCCCTCTCCTCTCGTCGTAATCACTGTAAAAAGCAAATAGAAAACCCTAGAATCGAAACCACACACCAGAAGAACAAACCGGGAAAATTAAAGCTACGATTTTTTTTTCCTTTTTCGGGGTTTTGATAGCGAAGGAGAGGGAAGAAGATAAGGGTAAACACGATTGCCGGCGGCGAGGCCTGCAGCGGCGCGTGAGATAGCAGCGATAGGTTTCTCGGAAAACGGGAGAAAAGGGCAAAGGGAAAGGAGAGGGTTGAAGAGAGAGCAATTTCTGCTTTTTATATTAAAAATAATTTATTTATTTTTTACTTTTATTAATTTACAACATCAGCCGGCATCAAATTGTAGCTTGGCTTCTTCTACTAGGGTTTTGTTTTTTTTTCCTTAAATTCTTACACCGACATAGAATCATTTTCTGTTGAGCAAAAATAGAAAAGAAGTGCTCTGTCAAAAGATTTGCCATATATTATCTCATTTCTTTTAATCCAAAACCCCCCAATTATAGAAGCCCAATCTATTGAATATGAATTTTAAAATTTGAAAACTAAAAAAATATGGAAAATGAATATTTTTATATATGAAAATTTAGTGAAAATACAATTGAAACGGATATAATATAAGAAGCTTCGCATTAAAGTTTATCCAACATATTTAACAACAAATTTCATTTTCAAAATGAGTAGCTTTGTTTTGATTTTTTTTTTTTTTTTTTTGGTTACGAGGGGTAATATCTCACTTCTCTCTCTCCTCTTTCTTCGCTGCCGATTTCTGATTTCGATTCCGGCGAGTTTCCGTCGGCACTTGGATCTCGTCAGATCGAGATCGAGCGCACCAAAAAGTCCGCGGACCGAAGCCGAAACCTGGTACACAACCACCCACCACACCATCTTTTGCTTTTGTCGGTGTTTTTTACTACTCGGGGGAAGAAAGAGAAGAAAAGCTTAACTATTTCACCTTCTTGCTGGTTATGAATTTAGGTATCATGGGAGATCACATTCCCCCCCTCCCACCTTTCGCGTTGTGGGTTTTTGACCCTTTCTCGACCTCAATCTGAATTTCTTAGATCGTTTTGGTGTTCTTGAGTTGATTGATTTGCTCCTCGTGCATCCTATATTGGGGTTTTGCTTATATGGTGTCCTGTTTGCGAGTTATTGTATGGAAGTTACTGAATTCAAAATTTTGGATGCATCTCTGTTTCTATGATGTGAAGATTGGTAGGTTCAAGAGTTGTTGGGTCTGGTTGATCATTGGCTCCAAAGCTTTAGGATTTTCGAAAATTTTAGAGAACGCCCAACATTTTGAAATCTTTCCAATTGTTGTGACGCTCTTACAAGGTGTTTACGACGAGATAAATATTAGTTGTGTCGGAGAGGATGAGATTAGTTGGGCTCACAGGAGGGATTGCGTCAGGGAAGAGCACGGTCTCCAACCTCTTCAAGGCTAGTGACACTCCTGTTGTTGACGCCGATCTCGTTGCTCGAGTAATCTCTCTCTCTCTCGCTTTTTCTTCAATGTTCCTGGTTTGCTCCTCGTGGTGCATAAGCCGTACACTCGTCTAATTTATGGGTCTCTCGATAAGCCTAAGTTGTCTCGTAAACATCGAGATGGGTCATGGAAAAGCATTCTTTCTGAATTCTTGGAGAAATGTGGTCATTTATCTTTGGACAAAAGGGTTTCAAGTTAATCCAATGGATTATGGGAAGCTCGGCTTGTTTACTTGCTTGGTTTTTAAGGTTTGGCAAGTAGATTTGCAATGTGCATCGTATGTTTTAACCATTTGTAAGGGATGACGTATGTCTTACACGTATTTAGCCGCAGTTTTTTGTTTATTAAAAGCGTGAAGTGTTTGATGTGTAGGATGTTCTAAAGAAAGAAACTGGGGGATGGAAGTTGCAGCGTTTGGAGAGGAGATTCTACTGCCCAGTGGAGAAGTTGATCGCCCAAAACTCGGCCAGAGTGTGTTCTCTTCTCCTTCCCAACGCCAACTTCTTAACAAGTATAAGTTGGCACTACCTCCTTTGATCATTGAACTTGGGTACTGGTAAATTATCTTCTACGAAATCCTGAACTTGGGTTATTGTCTTTCATTCTCTAGGTTGCTGGCACCGTATATATCTTCTGGTACCTTTTGCGAAATCGTGAAACTATGGGCCAAGGGTGCCAGAGTGGTCGTCTCGATATCCCCTTGTTGTTCGAGGCCAAGCTGGATAAATGGACGAAACCCGTTATTGTTGTGTGGGTGAACCCCAAAACACAGCTTAAACGTCTCACGGAGAGAGATGGGTCGAACGAAGCAGATGCAAGGAATAGTCTGGACGCTCAGATGCCCCTGGAGTTAAAAAGGAGCAAGGCTGACATTGTGATCGACAATAACGGGTCTCTCGAGGACCTGAACGAACAGTTGAAGAAAGTTTTGTTCGAAATCAAAAGACCCTTAACGTGGACCGAGTCTTGGCGTTCAAGACAAGGAGTCCTCGTCTCTGTCCTTTCGGCTATCGCTGGTGCATTTGTCTGCGAACGGTTCTACAATGGCTTGCTCGACCTGGAAATACCAAGAGTGGCACTGACACCACATATGGGAATTCAGTTTAAACAAAGTTTATATTTAGAAAGAAATTAAAATTAAATTTTAAAACTTATTAGTCAAACTTCCATATTCTGTAATTGTGGAATTCAGATTCATAAATTCAGTAACAGTAGCTATCAATTCTATATTTTTCAATTGTAACGGCTTTGACGAATTGTGTTCATATAATTTTAGACCAAGAAAAAATCAAAACCGACTTGGTAGAAAATTAATATCTTAAGTGGCCCCACTTCACCCACCAATCACAAGTCTGCAACTTTTGAGGAATCGCTACCCAATCACAACACTTCCTTCTTCCCTTCTCTCCCTCTCCCTCTCTCTAATTCTCCTCTGTTGTTCGCAGAAGATTTATAAAAAAGAGGGTTTTTTCTTGGGATTCGTATAGTTTATAGGAATAAAATCAATCATGGGTTCGATCTCCTTGTCCAATTCCGTGCCCATATCTCGAGTTCCGGTTGTTACTTCATCAGTCAATCAATGCTTGTTTCCGTGTCCTCTCCTCCCGAAACGCCGACGTTTTGCTCCTCACACCAGGTATCTGCTAATCGCCGCCGCTCCCGCCGGCGCCGGAGCAGCTCCCGCCGGCGTTAACAACTCCTATACGGTGAGTGAAACTGATTTTTTTGTACACCCTTTTGTTGGTTTATCTCAAATTCGAAAGCTTTCTCCTTCTGTTTGTATATGTATGCTGAGATTTGTCTCCGTGTTGGGTTTTCTTTTTCTGGGTTTTGTGTTTTTCAGGCAAAAAATGGGACTTATAGAGTTGGGGATTTCATGACACGGAAAGAGAGTTTGCATGTTGTTAAGCCCACAACTTCTGTCGATGATGGTAATCTGAATTTCCAGAACGCAATACGTTAGCTCTTATAAGATTATATCCACAAAAATGTTTCTAACTATGATATTTTGGGGTGTTCCTTGTATTTTCGGCGATTGGAAATTGGATTTGACAGCATTGGAGATTCTGGTGGAGAAAAAAATCACAGGATTGCCTGTAGTTGATGATGATTGGAATTTGGTAAACACCTAATTGCCATTTCATTTCTCTGTTGCACTTTAGAGCTTGAGAATAAGTTCTGCAAATCTTGAATTGGCGTTCTGGATTATCATTATCTGGTCGATGACTTGCTTTTGCAAAATTTTTATGCAGCTCTTGTAATTGTTTCAGTACTTACTCCATGTGTTTTGGTCAGACAACTCTTATCTATTGCTCATATGGTTCCTGCAGGTGGGTGTTGTTTCTGATTATGACTTGCTTGCACTGGACTCCATTTCAGGTAATGTAAACAAGTTCTGATTCTGAACCTGAAGTTTCAGTTCTGCTGTCTGGATATAGATGTTGCATATATATAAAGATAGCACGAGTTACTCTTTTTTTTTTTTAGTTTTACGGCATCATACCGAGTTAGTCTCGGTAATTATCAAAGGAATACCTGAAATGGGTTTGCACGAAGTTGTATGTATTACCATAAACCCTTACTAAGCCACATCTTTGGATGATTTTGGATCTTCCTGACTGCATGTTTAATGAAGTATTTGCTGACTTTTCATTCTAAGTTGACACGGCTCATCGTTGATATGTACAAATGTTGTCATTTTCTTGAAAGTTTAGTGTTTTGAATGCCAATTTGGTGAAGCAACTTACTTGATTTGTCTTTATCTGGAAAATTAGGCTGCAGCCAAAACGACACGAACATGTTCCCTAATGTCGACAGTTCCTGGAAAGTACGTTCCCTTTACCCTTCTCTTTTCGGATTTTCTGGTTCGTTTGTCATTCGTTACTCTTATCGATCTTGCCATATTACTAATTGTATCGCACATTTCATGGATCCATATGCATGTATGTCCTATTTGAGTGGAACTTTTGGGGTGCGTTTTTCAGGTCTGATATCTGTAGTTTTGATTTGCAGACATTCAATGAACTCCAGAAACTGATCAGCAAAACATATGGGAAAGTCATCGGGGACTTGATGACACCTTCGCCTCTCGTTGTCCGTGAAACTACGAATTTGGAGGACGCAGCCAGGTAATAATATCACATCTTATATAGCATCTGAGCATTAATGGTTTCCAATTTCCATAGTAGGATGAAAAGTTTTACATCTTTCAGTTCATAGCAACGGAAGAAGATAAAAGAACATTTAGCTGTGATCTTTCTTTTAGGAATTTGTACTTCCAGTAAAGCCTCTTCAATCAGAAAAGCTGGAACCTTTTCCTCTTTCGAATATGAAATACTCAAATCTTTTTAGACCCATTCTTTGTCATATCAATCGGTATATAAAGAATCCAACAGTTGGTTTGTCCATGAACCAAATGCAACCTGATCTTGATTCCTCGGGCCATTGAATATTAACTCCAGTGATCATAACAATGGAAAGAAAGCTCTCATGTTGCTGTTGGAAACATCTTTGACCAGGTTGCTGTTGGAAACCAAATTCCGGAGATTACCTGTTGTGGATGCAGATGGAAAACTGGTGAGTTGGCTGACTGTTTCTTATCTCGGTTCTGTTTTTCTCCGATGTTGCTGACATTTTTCTCGACCGGGTTTTAATGTTTTCGCGATAAGATTGGTATCCTTACGAGGGGAAATGTCGTGAGCGCTGCTCTCCAGATCAAAAGGGAAAACGAGAAGTCGCCTTAGAGAAGAAGGATCACAGGTCAGCAGATCTGTGAACCTGCCATAGTTAGCCAGAGAGTACCATTCTTAGATTCTATTATTGATAAGTATATATAAAATGCATTTGTCTCCCGCCAGGCTTTTGTTTTCTAGATTTTCCGAATTCGTCGTGCATTCATCTGTAGGCAAACCCTGGTATTAGCAATTGATCTACATATCTCAGAACATACGGTATTGGAAATATATTTATTTTTTTAGCAACGATTGATCTCAGATTGATTCTCTTACATTTCGGCTTGTGGAGTCACAAATATCATGAAAGTGTTGGACACTAACTGGATTCAAATGATGATCTTTTACCAGAATGACCAAGATTCTCAGATTCTATCTGCAGAATCAGATTCATCTAATCTCATGGAGACAGATTTATTCAAAGATAATGGATCATCAAAGACAGAGACTTTAACTAAAACAGCATAGAGACTCAACAATCAAACACAACACACAAACATAAAACTCATGAACCTGCTCTGCTTTCTTCTTCTTCTTCTTCTTCTTCTTCTTCTTCTTCTTCTTCTTACATCTCTCTCTGTGCTCTGAACTTTTTCAGATCTTCCATTAACGAGCTCAGATCTTTGTAAGAAGACCCTCCTTTCTCCACCGAGCCTCTGGCCATATCCCCGAGCTCCTTAGCCCGTCTCCTCCTCTCCTCGGCTGCTTCCCCGATCATCAAATCCCTTACCGCCTTTTCCACTCTGTCTCTACCGGTGAAATCTCCGGCAAAGTCCACCCACTTCCTCTCTCCCACGCTCAGTCCCGTTTTCAGCACCTGAGTTATCAGCTTCTCGTTGTAGAACTGCTCAGCCGCCACTGGCCACGTCACCATCGGCAGTCCAGCCGCCACTCCTTCCAAGACAGAGTTCCAGCCGCAGTGGGTCACGAACCCACCGGTTGCTTGGTGGTCAAGTATCAGCACCTGCGGAGCCCACCCTCTTATTATCATCCCTTTCCCTCTCGTCCTCTCCTCGAACCCTTCTGGCAGCCATTCTTCCTTCTCGCCTGTTCAATCCCAACCACCATGAAAACCCATTAACCACATAATCAAGTTAAAACCATGATCTCGAGTTTACAGAAAGAACAGGCCAAGTTCATATAGAACTAAAACAGCTGAATCTTGATGCGGATTTTGTTACCTTTGTCGTCAGATTTTCTCACGACCCAGATGAAATCGTGTCCGGAAGCTTCTAACCCAGCAGCGATCTCTTTCAGCTGGTCGTTGCTGAATTTCGCAACGCTTCCAAAGGACAAGTAAATCACTGAATCTGGTCTCTTGGAATCAAGCCATTTGAGGCATTCGTGCTCATCGATGCTCACCTTTTTTCCCCTCTCTGCTTTCTCCTCGAACCCTCTGTTGCACAGCGAGAGCGGACCGATATTCCACGAACTTTTCGCTACGAACTTCTTGTAGAAATCCGCATAAGCAGGTTCGAGCTCGTGGAATGTGTTCATCAGGACACCGTAGCTGAGTTTCTCCGAGTCCCTGACCTCTGTAATAAACTCCCCCATCTCATCATCTTCGTCATTATCCGTGACCTGATCTGCTGTGATAACAATGTCACCAGGAAGATGAGGGATCACAAAAGGCTCAGAGCTCGAAGCGACATTCTTCTGTGGCTTATGGAGCCTGATGCAATACGAAACGCATAGAGAGAAGTAGCACGTGCCGTGGAACACAAGTCTCGGCACTCCAAACTTCTTGGAAGCTTCCGTGGCCCAGGGGAAGAACATGTCGGCGACCAGACAGTCCGGTCTGAATGTTTCGATGAGATCCTCCAACTGGTTTTTGAGAAACTTGGTCGAGAAGAAAAGCTTCTGAACGATAGGGAATATGTCCTCGATGACGGCAGAGTCGAGGAAATCGGCGTTATCGGATCCTTGGGGTAATCCGAGCTCCGTGCAAGGAAAATCCAGGACCCGGATACCGATTTCTGCATTAGGGTTCTTGTTCTTGAAAACTTCGACAGGTTTCTGAAAGATTGGAACGTTGGGATGGGTAATGAGGATCGTCGATTTGATTCCTCTGCTTGCGAAAAGCTTCGCCATGTCCAGAGTCGGAATCATGTGGCCATACGCCATGAAGGGGAAGAAGAAAACATGGAGCTGACGAGGAGCTTCACTTTCACTCGCCATGTACGTTTGGTTAGCCGAGAAAATAAAAACTGGGTTTTGCAGATTGAAGACGAAACTCTTAAGAAAAATGGAAACTTTTTTTTTCCCGGATTGTTGTTTGGCGGCCGAGAAAATGAGAGCGAAAAAAAAAAATCGAAACTTTCTCTCAGCTACTGTTTGATTGATGACTGCGGAGAGTGAATTATTTGGGTATTGCCGTTTTGGTCTTTGGTGTGGAAAAAGTGAAATGAAATCATATGTTGTTGGAGAGTTGATTCTTTTACGTATCGGTAGGCAATGGCATCATCCTTGATTTTGTTTGGGTCGGGAAATAAATTTCGAAATAAAGTTTTTTTTTTTTGGTAAAGGTTAATCCGGTTAATAAAGTTTCACTCTGTTGACAATAAAATTTAAAAAAAAAAAGTTTTTTCAATACGACAATATTATTAGAATGTTATTATATATTTTAATAATATTCAAAGTCTACCATAAAAATCCAGACTTTTGGAAGCAAACTCCAATTTGATAACTATATATGACAAGTTCACTTATTGGGATGAAAGTTTGAAACATTGAGGTGAATTTATGAAGCTAACCGATATATAGATTAGAGACTATAAATCTATATATATTAATAAAGAAGTTTAAAGAGATTTGGTGAAGCCACCTAAGCATCCCATGTGGAAGTTTCTTAAATTTTGATTGGTTATAAATAAATTATGATAGAATTAAATGAGTAACTTTTAAAATATAAAATGATTAGTCTAAAATAAAATTTTAAAAATTAAAGAAAAACTTTTAAAAATAATGAAGTGATGAAGCCAATAAGTGATGAACCAAAATAAATATGTATTGTTATATTATACTAGATTTATTCATTTATAAAATAACAATAGATAAGTTTGAAAATATAATTATGAAAAAAACTTTTATAAACTTGCAATTTGAAAACAATTATATTTGAAAAAAAGACTTGATTACAAATTAAATTCTAAAACTATAAAATTTGTTAAGTATATTACTAAATTTTATTGTTATTTAATTAAAAAGTTTTTATAAGACTATATGTGAATAGTTTTATATAAAGATATGAGTAAATACAATAATGTAACGGAGGGGTTCCGTTTCGGTGTTTCCCATCATTATCCACTAAGACTAATATTAATTATACATAAATTTCGTTTCATATTGATATTATTATACTCATAAAACACAATTAATAATTACTAACCTACGTTACAAGTTGATAAACTCAAACGTCATAACTATACACACATTTATGTATATGTAGTGAAGAAGCTGAAATCAAATCTGGGATGCTCGCAAGACCAGGTAGTCAATTTCCTTCCAACTTCCTGCTATTGGTAATTCTTTCTTTTTTAATCGCTGTGTTTGTTGAAATCTGTATTTTTAGGTGGAACCTATGAAAGCAAAGAGAAATATATCAAAGGTCGAAGAGGTAGATAGTTTCTATATTTATTATGGTTAAATCTTCAAAATCATCAAGAATGCCATGAATGGAAAAACTATTTTTTTTATCTTCTCAGGTTCTCTTTTTTTTTTTGCTATGGTTATATTCCTCTTTTTTTTTTATCTCTCTTTTAGCTTTTTTTAAAGTTATCAAAATCGACACATTCTCTTTTCCAGTAACTATTAAAAAAAATTTGATAAGAAGTGACACAAGTGACAGGATTCAGGTGCTCTGCAACGTGGCCGGATTCTCAACTCTATCGACTTCTACAAAGATTGAGTTTTTTTTTCCAAGAAGATTTACTATCCTTCGCATCCATCAGTTCCATTTCAATCATCAAAGATCGAACTTACAATGTTTTTTAATTCATGAACCCATCTCATTTCACTCACAACAAAAAGAACCCATCTCCCATCTTCTCAACTCGCTCTATAGGATTCATCGAGAGTCTAGATGAACAAAATGTTGACTAGGAGCTTCACACGAATTTGGATCCTCGGTTGAATCGAGGTCAGAATAATCTCATTTCGTGTGATCGTCACTGGATTCCAAATTCGGGTTCGATGGGTTTTGGCTGGAGATTGTGGTTGTCGTGCGAGAGCAGGAAACGTTTCGCGACGGTGCGCCGAAGCAAGAGCTGATAAACTTGAAATCTCGGTGGCGACTTGACAGAACATAGCATCAGAGTCCTGGCTTGCGGCGGAGCTCACACCCTATTTCTCACCGGTGAATCCTCGCCCTGAAAAGTTGTTTTAAAAAAATTTTGAAACTTTAATGTCTGAATTCGCTTGTGTAGGTGAAGGATGGTGCTTGACAGAGTGGAGGTGGCAGCCGAGGTTGTGATGAAAACTTTCGAATATCAAATATTAATTTTTTTACACATCGAAGGTTAGTAAATATTAAGAATAAAGATACCAAAACAAAACATTGACAAACTTATTTATTTAACTTTTATTTAAAAATAATGTTATTATATAATAATACGATGATAGTTATATTTTTCTATTTTTCACTTCTTTGATATATACTGATTTAATAATAAATCTAATTTTATATTATATATATCAATTTTTGTTGTATTCATATCATTAATTTTTTATGATAAAAAATAAAAAATTTATGTTAATAAAAAAAAAAGAACAAACCGCGCATCGCGCGGGTCTTACCTAGTAATAATAAAATTGTTATTGAGTCTATGGATTTAAAATAGTTGAAAATTTCAATGAGTAAAAATAAAAATAAAATAAAACGGTGTAGTTAAAGACAATCGAGTTGAACTATCTTTTAAATAGTGAAAAGTTTGGGTTAAACTTTAACTAATTTTTAAAATCGTGCAATAATCAAAGCCAAAAAAAATTAACGCTTTATTCCAAATTTTGGTTATTTAGACAATCAAACGAAAATGACAAGGTTTAATAAAATATAAAATGAGATAAATATGAAACAAATCAAATCTATGGTATAAGGCATAATGCATGGTTTCGGATCTTATTGACATATTTCTACATATGTGAATTAAACACATTGTTCGGCCACTCTGCCACACACTGCCTAAAGTTGCTTACTTTTAATGTGATCACAAGACTGGTGTCTGGTCGCAGCCGTCGGAAGATCCTTCAGACATTAAGGACCAACCGAATTAGTATCCCACTAGATGGGGGTGCTGCGGGAGGATTTGAATCCGGATATTTTGGAAGCAGCCTTGTTTGCAGCATTCACCTTGTCACGGACCCCTCGTATCTTGTCCATGTCCATCATGTCTTCGTCCGCTTCCCGACGGGCCCTCGAGAGTTCAGACACAGCGGTTTCAATCTCTCTCACAATCTCGGCAGGGATCTTATCTCTATGCTCTCTCAATTTCTCCTTGATATTCCAGGTAGAAAGAGAAGCGTACATGTCGAGAAAACCCGGGTTGAGAGTACGTAAGGCCTTGTAGGTGCCAGTTTTTTTATGGTGTGCTTCGGTAAATTGCTTCATTTTGGCAAGAAAAAAAGCTTCAATCTGGCTAGGAGAGTACCTTTGCCTGTCTGCTTCGACCAAAGCATTGCCATCTGGAGCTTCAACAATCTTGCACGGTACCATTTTCATCTCAGTCTGTGTCTGAGAGTCTTCAAACCGAAAAACGGTGTCTGTGCTTGCAGGGTTTGTCAATGGGGTTCCCACAAAAAGTTCACCCTTGTGGTTAATGGCAACCACCGAAAGAGTTCCTTGGTCATTCTCAATCACATTAGGGTTAGGGATCTGTAACACAAGATGGGACTTCAGTAAGTAAACTCATTTCCATCTCAGCAGCCATAACAAACATGAAAACCACAAAGATCCAAAGACAGAGAAAGGGTTTTTTACCTTTCCTTCCATAGATTTGGAGTTGGTGGTACCCAAGTCAACATCATTACCGACACTGGATGAACACACACCCCACTGTAAGGCTAAGACAACACTTTAACAGCAACACGAACGGAGACTGAAGTAATACCTGAAAGGCCTCACAAAGAAACCCAGTTTTCCAGCCAAAGGCGTCTTTCCATTTGCAGATACCTTCATTCATATTCGTTTTCGATTTGGAAATTCCCAAACTAAGTTAGAGACCCTCAATCACAAAATCAACTAATTTCACACGCCATCCAATGGAGATTCTCCACATAAACACCAAACATAACAAACAAGAAAAGAAAACGAGAATCGAAAGGGTAAGATGAATCGTACGGATCTGTAAGCGGAGAGAGATGCGGAGAGGAGCTCGCTGCGGCGGAGCGAACGGAGAAGAGCGGCGGTGGCCATCGGGAGCGGCGGAGAGGCCTCAGAGTTCGTAGGGTTTGAAACAGAAATGGCCGACTTGCGCGTTAGGGGGTCTGAGTAAGGGCATCTCATACCTAATTACCGTACTACCCTTTCTCAGTTCCGACTCTTCCGCCCTCGAGATTTGCTCCTCGGCGCTCTAGTAGCGAGGGCAATTTAGGAAATGAAGAAAAATATTTCTCCCTTGAATTCGTGGGCTACAAAGTTATCTGACCTTCGGACTTTTCCTACTTAAATGGAAAAAAATCCTTTTCTAAAATAGAAAAAATACCTTTTTTCCGTATATAAAATTACAGCGAAATTCAACATTTACCATAGTCCACCAAATTACAAAATTTATCCCAATATCATGTACAACGTCAAGCTGCATTAAATTCCGTCAAATAATACGCTGACGTGGCGTTGATATGGTTGTACACGTCATTTTTTTGCCCAAAAAAAAACTTGAACTTGCACCACATTTTTTCTTACATCTCCTTGTTGTTCCTTAGCATCTTCATCTCTTCCATGAACATGTCCAGTTCATTATAAGAGGACCCTCCTTCCCCGACAGCGGCTTTGGCCATGGCCGAAAGCTCGTTCGCCCGTCTCCGCCACTCTTCCCCCGCCATAACTTCCCTCACCGCCTTCTCCCCTTTCTCTCTGCTGATGAAATCTCCCACTCGTCTCACCAATTTCCTCGCTCCTACCTTCACTCCGATTCTCAGAACATGAGTCACTAGTTTCTCGTTGTAGAACTGCTCCGCCCCAACTGGCCACGTCACCATCGGCACTCCCGCCGCAACTCCCTCGAGAACCGAGTTCCAGCCACAGTGAGTCACGAACCCTCCGGTTGCTTGGTGGTCAAGCAACAGCACCTGCGGGGCCCATCCTCTTATAACCAGTCCTCTCCCTCTGGTTCTCTCCTCGAACCCTTCCGGCAGCCACTCTTCCTTCCCACCTGTCTCCAAACACCATTACCATGAGAGATTTTGAAAGCCTCCAAACACCATTACCATGAGAGATTTTGAAAGCGGTCCTTTTCTTGTCCCGCAAGGAATTACAATGTAATTATTACATGAATGGATAGTGATTTTACCTTCGTTTCCTTCTTTCCGAACTGCCCAGATGAAATCTTGTTCAGAAGCTTCCAATCCTGCGGCGATCTCTATTAGCTGTTCATTGGTAAACCTCGTCATACTTCCGAAAGAAACGTAAACCACTGAATTGGGTTTCTTGGAGTCGAGCCATTGGAGGCATTCATGCTCATCAATGGTGGCCTTTCTTCCTCTCTCGGCTTTCTCCTCGATCCCTCTGTTGCACAGAGAAAGCGGGCCGATATGCCACGACCTCAACTTCAGAACGTTTCGGTAGAAATCAGCATAAGCCGATTCCAAATCATAGAAGCTGTTCATCAGGACACCGTAGCATTTCTGGAGAGATTCCATGACCTCTTTCATGAACCTCCCCATATCAGATTCTTCATCGATATTCATAAGCTGTTCTCCTGTTATGGCGATGTCCCCTGGTAGATCTGGAATCACAAATGGCTCAGAACTCGAAGCCAGTTTCTTGTGTGGCTTATGGAGAGCGATGCAGAACGAAGCACATATGGAGAAGTAGCACGTGCCATGGAACACAAGCCTGGGAACTCCGTACTTCTCGGCAGCTTCTGTCGCCCACGGGAAGACTATGTCGGCGACCAGACAGTCCGGTCTGACTGTCTCGATGAGCTGCTCCAACTGTTGTTTGAGAAACTTGGTCGAGAACATGAACTTACATCTCAGATCTTCTGAATCGGCTTCAGAGTTTGAGACGACGTGATCGCAACTGTCGCACCCCTCGGGCAATCCGAGCTCTGCGCAAGGGAAATCGAGGATCGTGATTCCGATATCGGCGCCTGGATTCTGATTCTTGAACGATTCGATGGATCTTTCGAGGGTTTGGGAATTCGGAAATGTGGTGAGGACAGTTGATTTGGCTCCTATGCTCGAGAAAATCTTGGCCATGTCAAGCATTGGTATCATGTGACCGTGGGTCATGAAGGGGAAGAAGAAAATGTGAAACTGATGAGTTTGACTGCCCATGTTTGGATGCCGAGAAAATAAGATAAAAACAGAGTATATTCTTCTGCCTTGGGACGAAAAAAGATAGAAACTTTTGCCAAAAGAAGATCGAAACAAGATCCGGGTTTGCAGGGAGAAACAGAGAACACCACCACCAAGAACCGAATCTTTTTTCCTTCCCTTCGAGCTGGCTGTTTGGCTGCTGAGAAAATTAAAACGGAAACAGAGTATCGTTTTTCTTTTCCTTCTTTTTTTTTGTGACGGAAAACAGAGTATTCTTCTGCTATGGAACAACAAAAAAGATCAGAACTTTCTGCGAGAAGAAATCGAAACAAAACCTGGGTTTGCCGGGAAAAAGAGAGAATACCACAAAAAACCGAAACTTTTTCTTGCTTTGCCTTTGCCTGTGTGTTTGGTTCCCAAGAAAATGAGAGAATCCTTTTGGGTAGAGAAAAGGAACGGAGGCTTCTGCAGATAGTGTTGAGTTATGACATTGGACTTTATAAGCAACTCTCTCAAATTGAAAGGATTCATACGTCTTCGCATACGTCACTCTCTTTTTATTAATTGAATAAATTATTGAAGTGGAAGAGTCAGACTCATGGTTCCGTGGAAGTTTGTCAACTGCCACGTCTTCCCTTGCATTGGAGTTTGTGACATCGGTTTCACTTGGGTTATATTTGGTTTGGATTATTTTTTATAACCTTTCGATTTTTATATAAACTTTGATCCGGGTCGACTCGATTACTTCGGATTTGGATTCATTTTTTATTATAAAAAACTCATTTTTTAAATAAATTATCGATTTTTTCAGTTATTTTTAATTAATTCGATTTTAAATTTTTAAAATTTAGAAAAATCATAATCGTTTGATTTTTTCCGGATTCGAATTGATAACGGTTATATCTTATTCGTTTCCATTCAATTTGACTATTCCGTTGATAACCAAAATAGTGGGCTGGATACCAAAGGTTGACATTGCTTGCACTGGACTCCATTTCAGGTAATGTAAACAAGTTCTGATTCTGAACCTGAAGTTTCAGTTCTGCTGTCTGGATATAGATGTTGCATATATATAAAGATAGTACGAGTTACTCTTTTTTTTTAGTTTCACGGCATCATACCGAGTTAGTCTCGGTAATTATCAAAGGAATACCTGAAATGGGTTTGCACGAAGTTGTATGTATTACCATAAACACTTACTAAGCCACATCTTTGGATGATCTTTGGATCTTCCTGACTGCATGTTTAATGAAGTATTTGCTGACTTTTCATTCTAAGTTGACAGGGCTCATCGCTGATACATACAAATGTTGTCATTTTCTTGAAAGTTTAGTGTTTCGAATGCCAATTTGGTGAAGCGACTTACTTGATGTGTCTTTATCTGGAAAATTAGGCTGCAGTCAAAACGACAGCAACATGTTCCCTAATGTCGACAGTTCCTGGAAATTACGTTTCCTTTTACCCTTCTCTTTTCGGACTTTCTCGTTAGTTTGACATTCATTACTCTTGCCGATCTTGCCATTTTTTTTTTTGGTATGAACCGATCTTGCCATATTGCTAATTGTATCGCACATTTCATGGATCCATATGCATGTATATATGTCCTATTTGAATGAGACTTTTGGGTGCGTTTTTCAGTTCTGATATCTGTAGCTTTGGTTTTCAGACATTCAATGAACTTCAGAAACTGATCAGCAAAACATATCGGAAAGTCATCGGGGACTTGATGACACCTTCGCCTCTCGTTGTTCGTGAAACTACGAATTTGGAGGACGCAGCCAGGCAAGTCTTAGATTGACATGACAGAAATATCACATCTTACATAGCATCTGGGCATTAAAGGTTTCCATGGTAGGATGAAAAGTTCTAAATCTTTCAGTTCATAGCAATGGAAGAAGACAAAGAACACATTTAGCTGTGATCTTTCTCTTAGGAATTTGTGTTCGTTGTACTCCCATCCCAGTAAAGCTTCTTTAATCAGAAAAGTTGGGACCTTTTCCTCTTTAGAATATGAAATACTCAAATCTCGTTAGACCCGTTCTTTGTCGTATCAATCGGTATACAAAGAATCAAACAGTTTGTTTGTCCATGAACACCAAACATGACCTTGATGCCTCGGGTCATTGAATATTAATTCCAATGATCATGACAATGGAAAGAAAGCTCTCATGTTGCTGTTGGAAACATCTTTGACCAGGTTGCTGTTGGAAACCAAATTCCGGAGATTACCTGTTGTGGATGCAGATGGAAAACTGGTGAGTTGGCTGGACTGTTTCTTTTCTCGGTTCTGTTTTTCTCTGATCTTGCTGAAATTTTTCTCGGCCGGGTTTTAATGTTTTCGCGATAAGATTGGTATCCTTACGAGGGGAAATGTCGTGAGCGCTGCTCTCCAGATCAAAAGGGAGAACGAGAAGTCGCCTTAAAGAAGAAGGATCACAAGTCAGCAGATCTCTGAACCTGCCATAGTTAGCCAGAGAGTACCATTCTTAGATTCTATTATTGATAAGTATATATAAAATGCATTTGTCTCATGCCAGGCTTTTGTTTTCTACAAAAAGTTCACCCTTGTGGTTAATGGCAACCACCGAAAGAGTTCCTTGGTCATTCTCAATCACATTAGGGTTAGGGGTCTGTAACACAAGATGGGACTTCAGCAAGTAAACTCATTTCCATCTCAGCAACCATAACAAACATGAAAACCACAAAGATCCAAAGACAGAGAAAGGGTTTTTTTACCTTTCCTTCCATAGATTTGGAATTGGTGGTACCCAAGTCAACATCATTACCGACACTGCATGAACACACACCCCGCTGTAAGGCTAAGACAACACTTTAACAGCAACACGAACGGGAGACTGAAGTAATACCTGAAAGGCCTCACAAAGAAACCCAATTTTCCAGCCAAAGGAGTCTTTCCATTTGCAGATACCTTCATTCATATTCATTTTCGGTTTGGAAATTCCCAAACTAAGTTAGAGACCCTCAATCACAAAATCAACTAATTTCACACGCGATCCAATGGAGATTCTCCACATAAACACCAAACATAACAACCAAGAAAAGAAAACGAGAATCAAAAGGGTAAGATGAATCGTACGGATCTTTAAGCGGAGAGGAGCTCGCGGCGGCGGAGCGAACGGAGAAGAGAGGCGGTGGCCATCGGGGGTAAATCACTAAGATGTACCAAAACTGTCGCACGCAGGATACACCCACAAAATTATAACCCATTAAATTTTTGTTGAAAAGACCATATTACCCTTAATGAAACCGTGTAATTATAATTGCAAAGTCGTAATTGATTCTAAATGAGATGACAAAAAATACATCTAATTGTTTACAGGAATTTTAGTGTTATATGGTCGTAAATACCGTTTTTTAGTCGTATATTAATTATATAACAGTCGTAATAAAGTCGTAAAAAATATAAAAAAAAGGTTATTTCGGATTTATTAAGTCCAAAAGTGGTATAGAATTGAAAAAAAAAATTTGATTTTTTTTAGGGGTATCACTGAAATGGGTGCGACACATTTTTGGTATATTAGAGTGATTTTCCCGGCCATCGGGAGCATCGGAGAGGCCTCAGAGTTAAGATGCCCTAATTACCGTAATACCCTTTCTCAGTTCCAACTCTTCCGCTCTCGAGATTTGCTCTTCGGCGTTCTGGTTGTGAGGGCAATTTAGGAAATGAAGAAAAATATTTCTCCCTGTAGTTCGTGGGCTATATCTGCCCTGCGGACTTTTCCTACTTAAATGGAAAAAATCCTTTTCTAAAATAGATATTCCGTATATAAATATCATAATCTGATGTAAAATTACAGCGAAATTCAAAATTTACCATAATCCCATCACCAAATTACAAAATTTATCCCAATATCATGTACAACGTCAAGCTGCATTAAATTCCGCCAATTAATACGCTGACGTGGCGTTGATATGGTTGTACACGTCATTTTTTTGCCCAAAGAAAAACTTGAACTTGCACCACATTTTTTCTTACATCTCCTTGTTGTTCCTTAGCATCTTCATCTCTTCCATGAACATGTCCAGTTCATTATAAGAGGACCCTCCTTCCCCGACAGCGGCTTTGGCCATGGCCGAAAGCTCGTTCGTCCGTCTCCGCCTCTCTTCCCCCGCCATAACTTCCCTCACCGCCTTCTCCACTTTCTCTCTGCTGATGAAATCTCCCACTCGTCTCACCAATTTCCTCGCTCCTACCTTCACTCCGATTCTCATAACATGAATCACTAGCTTCTCGTTGTAGAACTGCTCCGCCCCAACTGGCCACGTCACCATCGGCACTCCCGCCGCCACGCCCTCAAGAACCGAGTTCCAGCCGCAGTGAGTCACAAACCCTCCGGTTGCTTGGTGGTCAAGCAACAGCACCTGCGGGGCCCATCCTCTTATGACCAGTCCTCTGCCTCTGGTTCTCTCCTCGAACCCTTCCGGCAGCCACTCTTCCTTCCCACCTGTCTCCAGACACCATTACCATGACAGATTTTGAAAGCGGTTTCCTTTTCTTGTCCCGCAAGGAATTACATGAATGGACAGTGATTTTACCTTCGTTTTCTCCTTTCCGAACTGCCCAGATGAAATCTTGTTCAGAAGCTTCCAATCCTGCGGCGATCTCTATTAGCTGTTCATTGGTAAACCTCGTCATACTTCCAAAAGAAACGTAAACCACTGAATTGGGTTTCTTGGAGTCGAGCCATTGGAGGCATTCATGCTCATCAATGGTGGCCTTTCTTCCTCTCTCGACCTTCTCCTCGATCCCTCTGTTGCACAGAGAAAGCGGGCCGATATGCCACGACCTCAACTTCAGAACGTTTCGGTAGAAATCTGCATAAGCCGATTCCAAATCATAGAAGCTGTTCATCAGGACACCGTAGCATTTCTGGAGAGATTCCATGACCTCTTTCATGAACCTCCCCATATCAGATTCTTCATCCATATTCATAAGCTGTTCTCCTGTTATGACGATGTCCCCTGGTAGATCTGGAATCACGAATGGCTCAGAACTCGAAGCCAGTTTCTTGTGTGGCTTATGGTGAGCGATGCAGAACGAAGCACATACGGAGAAGTAGCACGTGCCATGGAACACAAGCCTGGGAACCCCGTACTTCTCGGCAGCTTCTGTCGCCCACGGGAAGAAGTTCCTTAGCATCTTCATCTCTTCCATGAACATGTCCAGTTCATTATAAGAGGACCCTCCTTCCCCGACAGCGGCTTTGGCCATGGCCGAAAGCTCGTTCGTCCGTCTCCGCCTCTCTTCCCCCGCCATAACTTCCCTCACCGCCTTCTCCACTTTCTCTCTGCTGATGAAATCTCCCACTCGTCTCACCAATTTCCTCGCTCCTACCTTCACTCCGATTCTCAGAACATGAGTCACTAGTTTCTCGTTGTAGAACTGCTCCGCCCCAACTGGCCACGTCACCATCGGCACTCCCGCCGCCACGCCCTCAAGAACCGAGTTCCAGCCGCAGTGAGTCACAAACCCTCCGGTTGCTTGGTGGTCAAGCAACAGCACCTGCGGGGCCCATCCTCTTATGACCAGTCCTCTGCCTCTGGTTCTCTCCTCGAACCCTTCCGGCAGCCACTCTTCCTTCCCACCTGTCTCCAGACACCATTACCATGACAGATTTTGAAAGCGGTTTCCTTTTCTTGTCCCGCAAGGAATTACATGAATGGACAGTGATTTTACCTTCGTTTTCTCCTTTCCGAACTGCCCAGATGAAATCTTGTTCAGAAGCTTCCAATCCTGCGGCGATCTCTATTAGCTGTTCATTGGTAAACCTCGTCATACTTCCAAAAGAAACGTAAACCACTGAATTGGGTTTCTTGGAGTCGAGCCATTGGAGGCATTCATGCTCATCAATGGTGGCCTTTCTTCCTCTCTCGACCTTCTCCTCGATCCCTCTGTTGCACAGAGAAAGCGGGCCGATATGCCACGACCTCAACTTCAGAACGTTTCGGTAGAAATCAGCATAAGCCGATTCCAAATCATAGAAGCTGTTCATCAGGACACCGTAGCATTTCTGGAGAGATTCCATGACCTCTTTCATGAACCTCCCCATATCAGATTCTTCATCCATATTCATAAGCTGTTCTCCTGTTATGACGATGTCCCCTGGTAGATCTGGAATCACGAATGGCTCAGAACTCGAAGCCAGTTTCTTGTGTGGCTTATGGTGAGCGATGCAGAACGAAGCACATACGGAGAAGTAGCACGTGCCATGGAACACAAGCCTGGGAACCCCGTACTTCTCGGCAGCTTCTGTCGCCCACGGGAAGAATATGTCGGCGACCAGACAGTCCGGTCTGACTGTCTCGATGAGCTGCTCCAACTGTTGTTTGAGAAACTTGGTCGAGAACATGAACTTACATCTCAGATCTTCTGAATCGGCTTCAGAGTTTGAGACGACGTGATCGCAACTGTCGCACCCCTCGGGCAATCCGAGCTCTGCGCAAGGGAAATCGAGGATCGTGATTCCGATATCGGCGCCTGGATTCTGATTCTTGAACGATTCGATGGATCTTTCGAGGGTTTGGGAATTCGGAAATGTGGTGAGGACAGTTGATTTGGCTCCTCTGCTCGAGAAAATCTTGGCCATGTCAAGCATTGGTATCATGTGGCCGTGGCCCATGAAGGGGAAGAAGAAAATGTGAAGCTGATGAGTTTGAGTGCCCATGTTTGGATGCCGAGAAAATAAGATAAAAACAGAGTATTCTTCTGCCTTGGGACGAAAGAAGATCGAAACAAGATCTGGGTTTGCAGGGAGAAACAGAGAACACCACCACCAAGAACCGAATCTTTTTTCCTTCCCTTCGAGCTGGTTGTTTGGCTGCTGAGAAAATTAAAACGGAAACAGAGTATCGTTTTTCTTTTCCTTCTTGTTTTGTAACGGAAAATCTGCTATGGAACAAAAAAAAAAAAAGATCAGAACTTTCTGCGAGAAGAAATCGAAACAAAAACCTGGGTTTGCCGGGAAAAAGAGAGAATACCACGAAAAACCGAAACTTTTTCTTGCTTTGCCTGTGTGTTTGGTTCCCAGGAAAATGAGAGAATCCTTTTGGGTAGAGAAAAGGAACGGAGGCTTCTGCAGATAGTGTTGAGTTATGACATTGGACTTTATAAGCAACTCTCTCAAATTGAAAGGATTCATACGTCTTCGCATACGTCACTCTCTTTATATTAATTGAATAAATTATTGAAGTAGAAAGAGTCAGACCCATGGTTCGGTGTCAAGTTTGTCAACTGCCACGTCTTCCATTGCATTGGAGTTTGCGACTTCGTTTCAGTTGGGTTATATTTGGTTTACATTATTTTTTTATAACCATTCGATTTTTATATAAATTTTAATTCCATTACTTTTCGATTCAAACTTATTTTTTAAATAAATTATTAATTTTTTCATTACTTTTTTTTAATTAATTCGGTTTTAGTTTTTTTAAGTTTAGAAAAATCATAATACTTTGATTTTTTGTCGGGTTAGAATCAATTACGGTTATATCTTATTCGTTTCGATTTAATTCGACTATTCCATTAATAACCAAAACTCTGGGTTGCATACCAAACCTAGACATTTTTTTTCTATTTTCCAAAGGTGAGAAGCTGATATCATTTATCAAGTCAGTCCTAAACATGGTGAGTGAACATAGAATGTAGTAAGAAAAATTATATTTAAAAAAAAAACATTTCATTATTACCATATATTGCGATTTTTTTAAACAGTACCACTACCATGTATTGCAGCAATTCCAGGTGACAAAAAAAAAAAAAGACATGTATCTTAACAACAATTAATGGTATAGAATGAAACCCTAAACCCAAGAACTTGTCCTGCATTCTTCTTTGTCCTCCTAAGCAACCCCACTCTTCCATGAACATGTTCAGATCATTGTAAGAAGACCCTCCTTTCTGGACGGCGGCTTTGGCCACGGCCGCCAGCTCCTTCGCCCGTCTCCGCCTCTCTTCTGCTTCTTCTCCCACCGTCAACTCCCTCACCGCCGCCTCCACTTTCTCTCTCCTTATGAAATCTCCTCTCACTCCCACGTACTTTCTCACTCCGACACTTGCACCTGTTTTCAGAACCTGTGTCAGCAGCTTCTCGTTGTAGAATTGCTCTGCCCCCACTGGCCACGTCACCATTGGCACTCCTGCCGCAATACCCTCGAGAACCGAGTTCCACCCGCAATGCGTCACGAATCCTGCAATTGCTTGGTGGTCAAGTATCAGCAGCTGTGGGGCCCATCCTCTTATGATCAGTCCTTTTCCTGATCTGGTCCTCTCTTCGAGCCCTTGTGGTGGTGACCAGCTTTCCTTCTCACCTGTTCATCCCACGCGAAGAAATGTGTCAAAGATCGAGGGAGGGTTCAGACCAAACCAGCGGTTTCTTGTGTCGGACATATACCTTTGTTGTCGTGTTTTCTCACCACCCAGATGAAATCTTGTCCAGAACTTTCCAACCCTGCAGCAATCTCTTCCAGCTGAGCGTTGGTGAAGCACGTCATGCTTCCAAAGGACAGGTAGATGACTGAATCGGGTTTCTTGGAATCAAGCCATTTCAGGCATTCGGTCTCGTCAACGGTCGCCTTTCTTCCCCTCTCGGCTTTCTCTTCAATCGAAGTGTTGCACAGCGAAAGTGGGCCGATTTGCCACGACCTGCGCCCCAGAACACCCCTGAAGAAATCGACATATATAAACCGGTTCGAGCTCATGGAAACTGTTCATCAAAACTCCAAAGCTGGTTTTCTCCGAATCTCTAATCACTTTTACAAACTCCCCGGCTTCTGTTTCTTTATCAAGATCTGTAATATGTTCTGCTGGAATGGATATGTTCCCCGGGAGATCTGGGGTCACAAAGGGATCAGAACCCGAAGCAACTTTCTCGTACGGTCTATGGAGTACGACGCAAGAACCAGAGCATAAGGAGAAGCAACAAGTGTCGTGGAAGACAACTCTCGGGACACCGAACTTGTCTGCAACTTGATTGGCCCAAGGGAAGAGCATGTCGGCGACAAGGCAGTCCGGTCTGATCTTCTCGATAAGCTCCTCGACCATTCCTCGGAGAAACACGGTCGTCATCATGAACTTGAGAACTGTAGGATTAGGGGGAGGATTATTCGAATGAGGGAGGAGGATTATTTAGTGTTTAGGATTTTTGGAGGAGATTAGAAAATTTTGGAAGAAGAAAGAATTTGAAGATTTTTTGAAGAGGAAATGTTTTTCCTTAATCTTTCTTTGTTTTTCTCTCTTCAAATTTCCTTGATTTCAAACTACATACAAACACACATATTTATACTACAATCTCCCACCTAACTACATATCTAACTCACTTATTAAACATATTTTTACCTAATTTTCTTCCACACATATTCTACACATTTCTAACTACCTCACCAAACTACAATTCCATCACATTTTCACACACTAACACATTAATCACATTTCACACACTTTTCATATTAATCACATTTTTCATAATCATACTAAAATATTTAATTGATTTTTTTTAAATCAAGTTTAATTTCAACACTCCCCCGTAAACTTGATTTTGGTGACTCCGAGTGCGCTCCTGATCCTTTCGAAATCTTCTCGTTTCAATGGCTTCGTAAAGATGTCTGCAATCTGATCATGAGACTTGACAAACTGAAGTTCCACCTCCTTCTTTGCGATACACTCTCTGATGTAATGATAACGAGTGTCAATGTGCTTGCTTCTATCATGGAAGACCGGATTTTTCGCCAGTGCCAATGCTGATTTGTTGTCGACGTAGATTTTGGTAGGTTTATCTTGCACCAGATTCACCGTCTTCAACAGATTTCGGAGCCATATAGCATGACACACACATGAGGTAGCGGTTACATATTCGGCTTCACATGTGGAAAGCGTCACTATGGGTTGCTTCTTCGACGACCAAGTAAAAGCAGAGCTTCCAACGAAAAATACAAATCCAGTGGTGCTCTTTCGATCATCAACATCTCCAGCCCAATCACTGTCACTGTATCCATATAGCTCAAAACTGTTAGTTGATGAGTACGATAAACCAAGAGCGACGGTACCTTTGATGTATCGAAGGATCCTTTTTGCCATCTTCAAATGAGTTGTTGTCGGAGTCTCCATGTAATGACTGACAAGTCCAACTGCGAACAGAATGTCGGGTCTCATGCAAGTGAGGTACCGAAGACTTCCAATCAGACTCTTGAAGAATGTTGGATCAATAGTATCTCCCTCTTCATATCTTGATACTTTGGCACCACATTCTATTGGCGTACTTATCGGCTTGCAATTTTCCATGTTGACCTTCTTCAAAATCTCCTTGGCATACCCTTCTTGAGAGATGAAAATCTTATCTTCTTCTTGCTTGATTTGGATTCCGAGATAATACGTCATCAACCCAATATCAGTCATCTCGAATTCTTTAGTCATTTGCCTCTTAAATTCCTCGAACAATAACGGATTATTCCCGGTGAAGATTAAATCATCCACATACAGGCACACAATCAACATATCTTCTCCTTGAATTTTGATGTAGAGGGCATGCTCGTATGGACATCTGATAAAATTGTTTTCAGTAAAATACCTGTCAATGCGGGTATTCCAAGCCCTCGGTGCCTGCTTCAATCCATAGAGTGCCTTCTTCAATTTCAACACTTTGTCTTTTTTCCCTCGGATTTCATAACCAGGTGGTTGTTGGATATAAACTTCTTCTTCAAGCACCCCATTAAGAAATGCTGACTTTACGTCCATTTGATGTATCTTCCACCTGTTTTGGGCTGCTAAAGAGATGATCAATCTTACAGTCTCAAGACGAGCTACAGGTGCAAATACCTCGTCGTAGTCGATCCCTTCTCTTTGACTGTAACCTTTTGCCACCAGCCTTGCTTTGTATCTTTCGATCTCCCCTTTGGCATTCTTCTTTGCTTTATATACCCATTTTACTCCGACCGCTTTGTGGCCTTTTGGAAGTGAGGTCAACTCCCATGTATCATTCTTCTCAATGGCCATGATCTCTTCATCCATGGCATTCCTCCACCTTTCATCTTGTACAGCTTCTTCAAAATTCTTAGGTTCACAATCCGCAAAAAGACAGAAAAGGGTAAGATCATCTTGCCTTTCAGTTGCCTCATATAGATCTTCAATGCTTCGGAATCGAGGCGTTCTTTCACTTGAGCTTTCGTCCGATGATGATGGCGATAATGGATCTTGTGGCGTTGTGGGTTCTTCAATCTCATTCTCCGTTTGTTCTTCTATGTAGGGAAGGAATGTATAGTCTTCATTGCAAGTGTTCCAGTCCCATTCTCCATCTTCATCAAACTCCACATCACGACTCACAATGGTTTTTCCAGTATTTGGGTTATGCAACTTGTATCCTTTTGAGTTTTGATCATAGCCGATGAATAAGTACTTTTCACTTTTATCATCAAGCTTTGATCTTTTCTCATCATGAATACGTGCATAGGCAATACCCAAATACTCGGAGGTGTGACACCCCTGGTTTTCTTCCACTCCAAGCTTCTTGGGGTGTTCTTCCCACTACACTTCTGGATGGAGATCTATTTGATAAATAGACCGCCATAGCCACAGCTTCTGCCCAGAATTCCTTTGGCATGTTCTTCGTCTTCAGCATGCTTCGTGTCATGTTAAGGATGGTCCTGTTCTTCCTTTCAGCGACTCCATTTTGTTGTGGCGTTCCTGGACATGTCAATGAGCGTCTAATACCATGGTATTCACAAAAGTCATTGAATTCCTTGGAAGTGAATTCTCTACCTCGATCGGACCTTAACTCTTTGATTTTATAGCCACTTTGTCTTTCCACCATCGTCTTGAAATTCTTGAAAGTTGTAAATGCCTCTGACTTTTGCTCCAAAAAATACACCCAAGTTTTTCTGCTGAAATCATCGATAAAGAGAATGAAATACCTTTTCTTTCCAAATGAAGACGGATTTATTGGTCCACAAACATCTGTGTGCACGAGTTGAAGTGGCTCCATTGCTCTTGACGTGGCTTCCTTAGGAAAACTCTTTCTTGTTTGTTTTCCTAGAACACAAGCCTCACATAATTGATCAGAATGATTAATGGATGACATTCCTTT